GGGGAGGATTTTAGGCTCTGTATGGCTCCACCCTATCTAATAAGCTAATAGCAATAGACTAATTGTAATTGTACTAGAGAATAGTATAAAATTTTTAGATGGTGAACATCCAGGAAGTCGTGAAGAAATTTAAATTTTGGGAGTACACCTCTTATGTTTTGGACTACATATTTGATATGATGATCTCATTTTAGGTGTCTGTCTATTACAGTACCAAGGTACTTAATATTTTCTGCTTCTTTTGGTTTCAAGTTGGTTGAAGTTTGGTATTCCAGTGGTGTATGAAGAAAACGGCAAGTATTTGTGTTTTTATGTATTTTTTATGTTAAATATTAAATGGTTATGTTGAAACAATTTTTTATTTTTACAAAAGTCCATTTCGACAGTTCCTTTTAACTTTTTTCAATTATTATTGATATAAAAAATAGCTATATCGTCAGCGAAACTTATGATCTGGTCTGAGGTCTGTAATGTAAGTAAAGTGTTTATATAAATATTAAATAAAAGCGGCCCCAACACACATGTCCACACCTCTGATGCCGTACTTTTTTTAGTTTATATAACAATATTTTGTGGTTAACAGCATCAAATGCTTTAGAGAGATCTACAAATATACATAAAGAAGCTTCTTTATTATCTAAAAAATTGTAAATATTTTTTATTAATATACCAAATTTCAAACATGGACTTTCACAAAGGAGAACATCGACAGGATACCCAAAACACAAAGAGCAATGGAAAGACAGATGCTGGGTATCGGTCTTAAAGACAGGAAAAGAAACTCATGGATCAGAGAAAAAACAAAGGCGAACGATGTATCAAGACAGGTTGCAAAACTTAAATAGAACTTCGCCGGTCACACTCTCCGGCAAAAAGATGAAAGATGGAATAAGCGAATTCTACACTGGAGACCACAATCCCCAGACAATGGCTGCAATTAACCTTTGTAGCAATTCCCAAAAAAACAAGTTCAACAACTTGCTCAGACCACAGAACAATAGCTTTAATGAGTCACACACTTAAAACATTTTTGAAAATAATTCACAGCAGAATTGTTAAAACTCTTGAATATGAGATTAGGGACACACAATTTGGCTTCAGAAATGGTATGAGTACAAGAGATGCTTCGTTCGGCTTGAATGTGGTGGCTCAGAGATGCATGGACATGAATCAGGATATGTAATTATGTTTTGTAGACTTTGAAAAGGCATTTGATAAAGTTCAACATAAAAAGCTTGTAGATATATTAAAAAGCAAAAATATTGACAGTCGTAATCTGAAAATTATATCTAATTTATATTGGAATCAAACTGCCAAGGTAAAAGTTGAAAGCCAGTACACCGAAAATATCAAAATACAGAGAGGAGTCCGCCAGGGTTGCGTGCTGTCCCCACTACTTTTCAATGTCTACAGTGAAGCGGTATTTCAAGAAGCGCTCTCAGACTCAATAGAAGGTATATCTATCAATGGAGAAGTTTTGAAAACCTTACGTTTTGCAGACGATACAGTAATAATTACGGATAACAACAATGATTTACAGAACGTAATGCAACGCCTTAATGAACGCTGTCATGAGTACGGACTGAAGATAAATTTAAAGAAAACTAAATGCATGATCATGACTAAATCTGCACATGCAAATATCCAATTGACTATTGAAGATACTGCAATTGAGTGTTAATAACTATAAATACTTAGGAACATGGATAACATCAGATGTAGACCAAACCAAAGAAATTAAGACACGTATTGAAATAGCACGTACATTATTTATTAAACTTAAAAAGTTTCTTTGTTGTCGGGATATAAGGTTAGAACTACGCCTGAGAATGCTTCGATGTTACGTGTTCTCTACTCTTCTTTATGGTTTGGAAGCTTGGACACTAAAACAAGTTCATCTCAATAAGTTGACCGCCTTTGAATTTTGGTGTTACAGAAGAATCCTACAAATATCATGGATTCAAAGAATGTCAAACATGAAAGTAACTAGAAGGATAGGAAATGAGGCGGAAATAATATTAACTATTAAAAGACGAAAACTTGAGTACTTGGGACATGTGATGAGAGAGAAAAAACGCATTATTACAACTTATTATGCAGGGCAAAATCCGAGGAAAGCGAAATATGGGAAGACGAAGAATATCCTGGCTTAATAACTTAAGGGAATGGTTTGAATGCAGTAGTGCAGAACTTTTTAGAGCGGCAGTCAACAGAGTCCGCATAGCCATGATGATTTCCAACCTTCGATAGAAGATGAAACTTAAAGAAAAAGGAGACACTGGAGACCATGGGAAAAGAAAAGAAAAAGAGGAAGACCACAGATGAGATGGGCTGACGATCTTAAGAGAACGGCAGGAAAGGACTTGTTGCAGATCGCCCAAAATAGAGACCAATGGTGATTAACAGGGGAGGCTAGTGGGCGTTTAAGGCTGATTAGATAGATAGATAGATAGATAGATAGATAGATAGATAGATAGATAGATAGATAGATAGATAGATAGATAGATAGATAGATAGATAGATAGATAGATAGATAGATAGATAGATAGATAGATAGATAGATAGATAGATAGATAGATAGATAGATAGATAGATAGATAGATAGATAGATAGATAGATAGATAGATAGATAGATAGATAGATAGATAGATAGATAGATAGATAGATAGATAGATAGATAGATAGATAGATAGATAGATAGATAGATAGATAGATAGATAGATAGATAGATAGATAGATAGATAGATAGATAGATAGATAGATAGATAGATAGATAGATAGATAGATAGATAGATAGATAGATAGATAGATAGATAGATAGATAGATAGATAGATAGATAGATAGATAGATAGATAGATAGATAGATAGATAGATAGATAGATAGATAGATAGATAGATAGATAGATAGATAGATAGATAGATAGATAGATAGATAGATAGATAGATAGATAGATAGATAGATAGATAGATAGATAGATAGATAGATAGATAGATAGATAGATAGATAGATAGATAGATAGATAGATAGATAGATAGATAGATAGATAGATAGATAGATAGATAGATAGATAGATAGATAGATAGATAGATAGATAGATAGATAGATAGATAGATAGATAGATAGATAGATAGATAGATAGATAGATAGATAGATAGATAGATAGATAGATAGATAGATAGATAGATAGATAGATAGATAGATAGATAGATAGATAGATAGATAGATAGATAGATAGATAGATAGATAGATAGATAGATAGATAGATAGATAGATAGATAGATAAATAGATAGATAGAGATACCAATTTCATTTTCTGTAGACCTTTCTCTCTAAAGCTTTATTTACTTTCAGATAATATATTATGTTTCTTTAAAAAATCAAATTAATTAAGTGCAATACCGAAAAAACATAATAATACATTTTTTTTAGATATTTACGAAATTTTTAAAGTGTGCAAAATCTTCAGATATATAGACAATGGTTACAACAGAATAACGCAACGAGCCATATAGCTATACGTTTCTAGATTTACTTCACGATAATGTTGAACAGTGAAGTTTTCGTGGAACAGACTTTGAGGATCCAGCTCATTTAACTAATAATATGATAACGCCCGATGTATACAGTAGGAGATGCTGAAGGAATCAGTATATAAGTCAGAATTGTAGCCAAGAGATAGTGGAGAACGATGACTGAAGAAGTAACCTGTTTTCAAAAATTGCAGTAACCACTTTTTATAAATATATCGGATAATCTGCAAAATCGTTATTAATCTTGTTTGCGCAATGGGATACATTTTCAACATGTATATTTTGTTAAATTAAAAAATAAAAACATGTTTACATTCGGTACTATTTAGTTTGGCGAATACTGTATAAAAAGTAGGAGCACTGCATATTTAGGTCACATATTGCAACGAAAGCGATAAAATTTTCAGCAAATAATACCAGATGGATGTGAAACATGGGTCGTGACAAAGAAATATTCCAATGCATTAGATGTGTTTGATAGAAAAATATTACGTAGGATACTGGGCCCAATAAGGGAAAACAACAACTGGCAAATTAGGTATAATAGAGAAATATACGAGCAGTATAGCGAACCAACTCTAGCACAATACATTAAACTGCAGAGATTACGGTGGATGGATGGAATACCAGATGGAAACAGAGAATATTATTTCTTAAGCAATTATTTTATCGCGACGCACTCATTTCATATCTGGTACACAGTCTTTTTAGATTACCCTAGGAACTTTTATAGTAAAAAATATAAGAAATAAGTAAAAGTTTCCTTTGAGAGGAATTAGGATATAAAGTAGTTGAAAAGATAATAGTATTGTAATAAACTAACATGCTATCCAATACTATCCATGTTAGACTTTAAGTTAACTTTAAATGAATTAAAGAAATAAGAATGCATATTGTATATTTTCTATTATTAAATTTATACTTCGAGAAACTTATTTAACAATGTTTTAGAAGGAATAAACAACCATTGTTAATATTGGGAGAGATATAACTAAAAATACTGTTATGCATGTGATATGATTATAGCTGTTTTAATTAACTCAAATTACAATACTTGATATTAAAGTAATTGCAATTAGTATAAAATATAAGTATTTGTAATGCATACAAACACTTAATATTAATTTGTGATTACCAAATTGCTATAGGTAAATAAACAAAATAATTAAACATTTTGACAAACTTTTTAAAAATTAAATTGCTTTTAGTGTACGTCTAAAATCTAGTCGAGCACATGGTCTATTACAAAAGGAAGTTTGAAATATTGTTCTACAATAGGTTACTAAAGATCTCTAGTAAAATCAGATTTCTAAGACTATGGAGGAAGATTTTAGAAATAAAAACGTAAATAAACAATATTTCAAAATTTTAGCAAAAAATATGTCAGATATTTAAATTTTACTTATACTATTTAAAACATTGTGTAACATATAAATTTTGCAATTTCAATTTCAAAATATCTGCTTACCAATTATTTTGTAGAAGCAAGAAATCAACTTTGACGTTTGGCTTCCGCTCAGTAAGCCAAAAACATGAAATCAGGCTGTCAACTTCCGCTGCCGAGAGAGTTTGCAAAGAACTCAAAAACACGAGACTATCGCAACGCCAGTCTACGAGGAACAAACTCACACAGCGTCACGACGTCGGATTCCCATTCCAGACTCTGGCGTTTTGTCAGCTGTGTTCTGTGCAGTAACAGACAAGGGGATACGGGGTTCAGTTGAAATTGCGGATTTTTAATTTTTTGAATTCGTGATTCAACAAATGTTGCGTTTTGAATCTTAAATTTTTTTAATATTAATATTTTTTTTTTGTTTTAATCCATTTAACAACAGTATTAGTTTGCTACTTGAAATAGTTCTACTTGTTTGCCTAATAAAGTTTCTTGAATAATATTTAGAGGTTGTTTAACAAACTCTTATGTGGAAATGTCTTAGTTTTTCTCGTTACTTTTGAGTATTGCTGTTAGAAATTACTTTCTTCTTGTTACCGTTATTATTATTTGAGTAGAAAAAAAGTTTTGCATTTTGCTTATTGAAAGATAATATTTATCAGTAATAATTTTTTTATGTTATTTTGTACTGATGTTTGTTTTATCAAATATCATTTTTGTAGTTAGTTTTAAGTATTGATCATTTCATTATTATATGTATATCTATAACAAAATACCATTATAATCAAGTTCATATGATATGCTTTAGGATATAATGCGTATATTGATCTGATTTATATGGTTAGGGATAAATACGTGCGTGATAATATATAAAGATAATTACATTCAATTTTTGATTGTCAAATCAAGACGGTATAGTATCGGTAACTCATGGTATTTTTTATTCATTTAGTCCTCGTACATATTTCTTAGATGTCATATTGTGAAGGTGTAAATGTACCTTAAATAAAAAAAATTACGGCAGACTTAATAAGCAAAGACATGAAATCAGTGGAAGCCGTGGTATGTCTGCTAACAGGGCTCTGTAACCGGAATAGGAAGTTGAGGCTGATGAGATTAGCAAATGATGACCTATGCAGATATGAGATAAAGGGTAAAATAGATAGATTATGATAAAAGTTAAAATAGCAGAGCACAGTGTGTGCATAGTTTTTATTAGTGTGTCAGCCTGCCAAATGTGTGATTCTCTGCATTCGGTTGAATTAAGCGACCGATAAGAAATTAAATGGAATGTTTAACACTCCGTTACTCGCGCGGGGTATTTATTGTGAACACCCCATGCGTATATAACTGTTAATATTTTGTACGCAATAATATCATCTCGCCGTGCGCCGGTGCAGCTGCATATTTTCGTCGTCTTTACCACCTGGAAGAATCTGATCAGTGTACTGTTAGTCGTTGTACCGTAACCAAGTGCTTGGGGTGCTGCAAACAACCCGCGAGTAGTTAAGTTACATTTTGTTTATCGATATTTATCTTTTGCCGGTAAGTATATTTATTCTTTTTAAACATATATGGTGGTCAGAACATGTACTTTGTCTATATAATATTTCCAATATTATTTTTAGGAAAAATGGTCGAATATGAGGCCGAACATGCGCGATTACTCAAACTTTTTGATGAATGTACGAGCGATGATGAAATACCATCAGAAGAAGAATATCCTTCAGATGAAGAATTGACCCAAATAAGAAGTGATTCTGAACCAGATAGTAAGCGTAAGGTTATGAATGAATCTTCTAGTAACGAGGACTTGACAAGTGATGACGAACAAGAAGACAGAAATCGTTTTTTTCTTGGAAAAGACGAAATCACTAAATGGTCAAAGAAGAAGAGTCGTGAGCAGGTGAAAACTAGAAGTCATAATCTAATTTACCGTCGATCAGGAACAATAAATATTGCCAGAAACTGTAAGTCTGTTATTGAATGTTTTAATTTGTTTATAACTGAAGACATAATCAAAGAAGTTACAGAAAGTACCAACATATTTATTAGTAAACTTTCGGCCAATTACAAACGTAAGAGGGACTGCAAAGAAACCAATGAGACAGAAACTCATGCTTTAGTTGGATTACTAATATTATCTGGCATTTGTAAATCCAGCCATAGTAATATCAAAGATTTGTGGGATATTTCAAGGCTTGGAATTCAAACGTTTTACAAAACTACGAGTTACAACCTTTTTTACTTTCTCATAAAATGTCTAAGGTTTGACAATATCAATACCCGCGAAGAAAGAATATTGCTGGACAAGTTAGCTCCCATTAGAAGTATTTCCAATCAGTTCAATAATATTTGCCTGGCAAATTATTCGCTAAGCGAATTCGCCACCATTGATGAACAACTTTTAAATTTTAGGGGTAGATGCTCTTTTCGACAGTATCTACCAAACAAGCCGGCACGATATGGTCTTCAATTTTTCGCTATATGTGATTCCAAGACATTTTATACTTTACAATTTGAACCTTATATTGGAAAGCAGCCAGATATTGCGCAGCGTTTGTGTCGTACACTCTTCGGTTCAGGAAGAAACATCACAGCGGACAACTGGTATATCAGCATACCATTAGCAGAAACATTACTGTTTCATAAATTATCGTTAGTGGGTACAATCAGAAAAAACAAAAAAGAGGTACCACCATGCTTTGTCACTAGTAAGGTTCCTGGGCAATCTCTATTCGGATTCCATCAAAAAATACCAATGACTCTCGTTTCATATTGCCCAAAGCAAAATAGAAATGTGATTTTATTATTAACTATGCACATAAATGACAATACTGTAGTAGAAGTTTCTCCAAATGTGAATAAGCCTGACATATTATTTTATAATAAAACCAAAAGTGGAGTTGATAGTGTAGACCAAAAATGCCAGACATATAATGTGTCAAGAACTTGTCGTCGTTGGCCCTTGAGGATATTTTATCATTTGTTAAATACAGCTGCAATTAATTCCCATATCGTTTATTTCTCTAATAATCCTACTAAAAATATTCCCAGATCGAAGTTTCTAAATGAGATTGGATTTACTCTGGTACAACCACAGATGGAAGCTAGGTCACAAATACAATCTATTCCAAACTCTTTGAAAAGAGTCTTAGGTAATGCAGGAACAAACAATGATAATGTGCCTATAAAAAGGCAAGATGCACTATATGTCCACGAGCAAAAGACATTAAATGTAAGAGTGGTTGCAAAAATTGCAATAAAAATATGTGCCTAAGCCATATGAACACAGTGATGCATGCTACCGAGGCCAGTAAATTTATTCTAATAAGTGAGAGCGCCCACCAAAGTGGCGTGACAGTGGCAAGTAGCAAGTAGCACGCGTCTAGCATAATGTAATGTAACCAATCCTAACGAATGATTAGAATGAATGACGTTACTGTCATTTTGGTGTAAACTGAATCATTCGTTTTCATTGGTTACATTATGCTAAACGCGTGCTACTTGCTACTTGCCACTGCCACGCCACTTTGGTGGGCGCTCTCCCTAAGTTTGTTTATTGTTCTTTATATATAATAAAAAATTTTTGCTTTTACTTTTTTACTTTATTTATTTATTTTTTTTATTTATTTTTTTTATTTTTGCTCAGTTGTGTGCAATTTTATTCCTAAAATCTATGTTTATAAAATTCAGCGACTACACATGTAGACTGCAATATTTGCTGAAATAAATAATTTTATTTTGTGACAAACTTTTAACATTATATACCTGAAATATAAAAAAAGTTTGGATTTTATTACTTTAAACAAAAAGTAAGATAAAATAATGTGGTGCTGCAGACACCCCGCGAGTTGACACGTTCCTGAAATAGGCGCGAGTAATGGAGGGTTAATCTCGAAGTTAATAGATCTTTTAAAAAGAGTTACGCTAGAGTATGTTATCTAGTACTAGAGGACCACAGTATATCTGAAAAGATCGCAGAGGAATAGTTCAAAAGCCATCTTATTAAATCTATCTATCTATTCTCATAGCCTACGACCTAATGTCTGCCGTTGTTGAGTCTATCAGCACATTCATGACAAGATTCTACAAGGGAAAATATACTACTGCCAACATTACATCTTAGCTTTTTAAAGTGTGCTTCAATCTCTGTACGAGATGCTGCTTCCCTAGAGAATCCTTATTACGTATATGTATACGTATACTGTCCCTGATGTATTCAGCTTGTTACCAAAACACCATCCTTAACGTGCTCATTGGGAGCCTTTTCTAGAGTTTTTAATATAAATGACATCAGAATTATCGACCTTAGTTACTTGGCATCTCCTCTCTGTTTTTGCCAACTTTGGCTATTTGACTATAAAAATTACTTTTATGATCCTCGATGCTTTTGCTATCTACTCAAAGCTAGACAGTCTTACCACATATAACTTTATGTTCAGATAATTTCAATAAGTTATGGTCTTTAATTCCGAAAGGCTCCGAAACCTTTGTCATTGGACTGGCTTATCAGCAGATGAATTATTACATGACGCGTAAGATCGAGAACGATTCGGCAAATCATCATGGAAGCTACCACCCCTAAAACTTGGGCACTGTACTCAAATAAGAATATGGTCTTTAGTCCAGTGTATTACCATTTGTCTAGTGATATCAGATTCGTGTCAGACTGAGAAAGAGTATATTACAAAGTTACATCAGAAATTACAAAATTAAAGAATATAGATAGTAATTTTATAACAAAAAATATTTTCTTTTAATATTTTTTTCACCTGATCTTTTATACCAAAAACATAGCACAATTAGCGTCTCTTAGCAAAGACAATGACGTCGACTTTGCTAAGTATCAGGACAATTACTCTACACACTCATACACACTACACTAGGTACCTGACTGTACCATGCCAATGATCTTAGTTGTCGAGGCATTAACTTAATATTAAAATAAAATAGATGTCATAGCTCCACTAGTATGAAAATCAAAATATCTGACAAGAAATCATAATATTTGTTATGATCGTGTAACCAATATTTTTAATGAACGGATCCAATGAAGTACAAAGGTCCCGACAGAAATTTTGAAGGTTCCCATCGTTTGTATGGCAACCTTTAGAACATATACTTTTTAAAAACAGTAAAATTTTAAATTATTAGAAACTAATTAATTACTTCATGCACTAATAGTTACTCTGAGATTTGACGAGATAAAAGCGGTAGTGACTGCT